ACGCTTTTCATGGCACCTCAGAATCTTTTGAAGGCTGATTTGCGGGTTCAGAGATTCCCAACGATTGACCCAATGGCAGATCAAGAGATGTTATACGGATGCAAGCAGCCACATCTCATCTCATCTTTCATTGTTGATGGTCTGTACTGATTGTTGCTTCGGTCACCGTCTACTTTCCTTTCAGTGCACGTCTGTCTCCTTCACTTGCTGCAGATATGCCGGTGGAGCCGAGGGAGTTTCCACCAGATGCGCAGCACACCTCGGAAGACACATGAAGACACAAAACGAATTCGAAGAGGCAAGAAGTGGCCACTGGCCAGAAAACTTCCACTGCAAGAAGTGGCCACCAAAGTTGCAGTAAGAAGTGTCTAAAGCGTCGAGGTGCAAGGTAGCCAGTTCTCTAGCGTACGGTGCTAGGCCAGTGATAGTTGCCTGCCACCAATGTTGTATGTGAAAGAAGCTGCTGGGACGGTGAGTCATTACAATGCAAGAGCACTCTAATGCAAGGCTAGTTCCGCTGCAAAAGAGAATTCCCACCTGTTCATGAAAGATTAATTGTTCAAAGCATGAGTATGAGTTCAAATGAAACCTTTATATACAAATTATCTTGGTCTTCCCATGCACAAGCCTCTCCAGAAAGCTGTAGCAAGCATTGAAGGAGGCCCTCATGCAAGTCTGAAGACACCTTGGGGAGACGATGCTGACCATGCTTGGCAGCGATAGACATAAACAGCCTTGGGCAAAAAAAAGAACAACATGACTAGGGAAAAGTTAGAAGTCCAAAGAAATGCAAATTTTACCCAAACATCTAGGAACCAAATCAGTATAAATCAATCATGCGAAGGCTTCTTCAAGAAAGCTCACCCCATTATTTTGGAGGAGCCAGGGGAAGAACAGGCTTCCTTGGAGGTCATCGCTACTAGCTTGAAGGGCCATTTTTATTAGATTGGAGGCCATCGCTACCAGGGTGGAGCTTGAGACTCATGAGCAAAGAGTGCGCCCGTAGCTGCTTAGTAGCTTCAGATAGCTTTAGAAGGTTTGCGAATTTATTTCTGATTTTTTTCGTTTTTTTTTGATTTTTTTGTTTTTCGTGTCTCGTGGCAGGTGCAGTACTTTGTGGACCTTGCAAAGCACATTTCGTGGCAGGTGCAGGACTTTGGAGTGCAGAGTTTGTGGCAGGCGCAGGACTTTTTGTGGGCCTTGAAGTGCAGATTTCGTGGCAGGTGTAGTACTTTGTGGCCCTTGGAGTGCAGATTTTGTGGCAGGCGCAGGACTTTGTGGACCTTGAAGTGCAGATTTCGTGGCAGATGCAGGACTTTGTGGGTGTGGAAGTGTAGAGTTGGTGGCAGGTGCAGGACTTTGTGGGCCTTGGAGTGCAG